GGAATAGTCGATCTTGGTATTTGAGTCCCTCTTCATTGATTACTTTCTCATTCGAGTCATTTCCCAAGCCAAACATATTGAGACATTCGCTATTTGTTTTATTAGGCGAGTTGCATTGCAATGCCAGTCTCTTTCGTGCTTGTGGCGAATTGCCTGTAATCATTCAGCAACGAGTAATGTCAAAAAAAATCGCCATCTTCCAAGTTTTGCTATTGTATAACATTCTAGGATTTTGTTTTTTCTTTTTTCTATGGTTATAATCTGTCACCTTTAAGGTATATCAGATTTCAATCGATGTGAAGCTATGCTATGGTTTCCACCATTGTCATCCAATTTTTGAATATTTTTAAATGTTAAACAACACATGTAAAGTTGGAAGTTTGCTGGTTTGTTGCTATCGAGATTTAGATTCAGATCAGAGTTAACTCCCAAACATTCAGCGTTTGCGCTGTTTGCTTTCTATTAATATGATGTGTTCTTAGTTTGATAGGCACAGATATATGTGCTGTATTTGTTTGAACGATTGAACGCTTGTGGTGTCATGATATTCAGAATCGGGTATTGTTATGTTTGTTGTCGTTCTTTTTAAAAATCCAACTGACTTGATCATAGACTCGGGTGTGCCAATCGGAGAAAACAACCACTCGAAAGAATTCGGTAAAATGGCTTCAGTAAGTCTGCTACGTGCTCTTCCAAGGCTTTCACTTCTAACTCGAAGCGCTTTGCCACAACTCACTCGCTCATTGTCTACTTCATCAGCACTTTTCGCAGGTTTCTCTTTTCATTACTTTTTCCTGTTCTTCGCCACAAATTTCGAGATGATCTGATTTTCGTTCAGCGAAATGATTGCAAAACATACCGGCTGTATGGTGGTAACTGTGCTGATCTGGAATTGACGTGATCGTCAGTTCTCTCAAAGTTTTGTTTGCAGAACGAAGATACACGAAAAAACACGAATGGGTTTCTGTGGAGGATGAAATCGGCACCGTCGGCATCACTACTTTCGCTCAGGTTTATCATGAATATCTTTTTTTCTTGAATATCTTCTCTTGTACCAAAAAAAATTGCATCGATTCTTTGATTACATTGTCGGAATTCCATGAAAGGTACACTGAAGTGTTCAGCATCTTTCGAACCNTTCCAAAAGCATGCGCTCAATTCCAGGAGGCACTTGGAGATATCGTTTATGCCGAACTTCCGGACGTAGGCACCGAACTGCATGCCGGCGATACGGCAGCCGCAGTGGAGAGTGTGAAAGCAGCATCAGACGTGTATTCGCCGATTTCGGGTACGGTCACGGAAAAGAACGAAGAAGTGGAATCCAATCCGTCACTTATCAACAAGTCAACCTATCAAGATGGTAGTAACCTCATTCATTTATTTTTATCATTGCAGTCAATCATCCTATTGTTAATGTTTAAATTTTTGAGGTGCTATTCGAAAGTATTCAATGATTTATTGAATACAATCATTTGTCGTGAACGATTCCCCTCAAATGCTCACTAACCAGTTATTTTTCATAGTATCTAATCAACAGTTCAAATTTAGGTTGGCTATTCAAGTTGAAAGTGATGAATGCGAATGAATTACAACAATTGATGGACGAAAATGCATACGAAGCATTCAAGAAGCAAGAAGAGGAGGCTCATGCTGAATAGAAGAATGAGTAAAAAATTCATACGGTGAAGAAATAAATGCTCGAACAAGAAAATAAAATTCGGTGTCTTCCCTCTCTGTATCCATCAATATTAATTCTCCACGCGATCATCGTTCAAAAAACAGCCGTACTTTTGCTCACTTTTTCCCATTGCGTACATTTATCAAGTCTACGTTATTGATGTGTTCATATCAGCACATCAATAATATTGCAATTATCATTGTTCGTAAAAACATTATTAATATCAATAGTGTATCTGTCATTGTTATTGGTATTGTTTTTACAGTTTCACTAGGTTGCTCTATCATTATCATCACCNTCATCACTGTTATTGTTTCTCTCTTATCAATGTCTCTATTGATCAACGTTTAAAGTGAATCTTCTAATGACCTCTCAAAAGATTGGCAACTTAACTTCAAGATATATTCACGAAGATTGATGCATTAATCGCAAATTTGAAAATGCAATCATTTTAGTGAACAATTTTACTGGTACTGATGCATGTTTATTATTTGGTTGTGTCACAGAGAGCGGGTTTTTTGTTTCTTTTCGTCTAGGCTAAACCTCTTTATTGACCAATCATAAGACGGTCGAATCTAGGATTGTAAGCGATGTCCCAAATTTGAAAGTTGTTTTTCTTTCATTACCAACTGCTAATTTTATTTTTCTTCGTGCACATTTGACATTAATCGGAAACATTTTTTTAATGTGTGTGTGTGCATGTTTTCGTCTACATTTCATTAGTGAAGTGGCGACGTAGAGTTGATTCGAAAATGATTGAGTTGTTTTGTGTGTTGATCTTGAAACATTCGCGTTTTTCGGCTTTCACTAGTCTGTTCGTGACATTTTGAAGTTCCGGTTGTTTTTCTTTATTTATTCATATTAGCGATACAATAAAATATTCCCTACTAATGTGAGATGGAAGTTGCTGGAGTCAGTTGCCAGGTTTGGCTGGTGGTTTTGAAACTGATTGACCGTGATGGTCATCGCTGTTGATCAGCTGACAGTTGGTCAAGGAAGTTGGCATGATGTGATGGCAAGTTTTGTGGGTTTATTCTGGTCGTGGCTGGATGGGAGAAAGTAATAGGTGCGTAATATATCAATCGATTACCATCTGAAACTGCCGATCAGTTTTTTGAATTAACTCTGCAAATGTCCAAATATCACATGACGGGAAAACTGGCCTTTACATAAAATGAACACATTTTAGAGGCATGTAACATAAAAAATATAGCATTTAGAGAGCATATTTGTGTTTGAATGCATTCAGCATATCATTGCGGATCGACTGATAACAAATTTGTGAAACATTCACAAAATGAGCTCACCGGCTGGAAATCCTGAAATGACGATTTCTACGGGTTTAGGGGTCCCAAAACACAAGCTTTGTTGATGGCTTGGAATAGTTTTTGTGGTAATCTTGTTCAGGCGACCTAAATCATCTCAAAACTGCTTTGAGCGTCTCGAAACGTTAACCATGAGCTGAGATATGATATGTTTAAAATGTGGATTTTGAGATCGTAAGGGGTATGTATATGGCCATGGTAATGATTATGTGAAGTTTCTAGTAGGATGATTTTTTGCTCTTTTTTCGATAGTTTTGGCAGCATTAGATTCAGCTTGGTGAGCGGATCACGAGAATTATTAAATTATGGCATTTTGAGAGACGTGAGGCGAGAACAATTTCAATTGTTTGTTGATCTGTTGTACTTCAATTTAAACGGCAAATCTCTCCTACATATATATTGCCATCCACTCTCTACACCGTGTTTTATCCTTCTGCATTTGCGCTATAAAGCATTGCATGATTTGCCCAGATTCATTCCCGTTTAGTGGGTAAGAAATTGATATTTCTGAACACCTCTAAAGTGAAATGCGAGTTCCGTTAATTGGTGAACTGTGTGCCTAGGTAGCGATTTTTGCAGGAATCGCATCGCAATGGTAACGTCTTAAGTGGATAAAACGCCAAGAGAAGCAAGATTGTATCGCCCACTTTGAGAGTGTTGTGAGTGTTGTGATGAAATGTTGCACTGAATCGGAAATAGTCTATTTTTTTAGTGAAAAAATTTACAATCAGCTGTTCATTTCATTCGATTAGCTGTGGAACAATCAGGAGAGACTGCCTTGGGAGGTGATCAAATTCAGCGGTTGTCTGTGTTAGTGAGTGTTTAGATTTTTGTTTATTATTTCGTAATTATAATTTCGTAATGCATTTTTCAGTCTTAAACTGCAGGATTAATTCGATATTTTTGTTAGAATTGTTATGGCTTTCACTATCATCATTATTGTCACGTTATCAGCACTATTATTATCAATTTGTTAACATTGTTTGCATCGATCTTTATCGTGTCATGTCTCCTGACTCATGTTCACAATTCAGAATTGGATTCATAGATGTTCAGAATTCAGCATGAATGTTTCTATATCAAGCAAGCGTCATGCTTAATAATTGTCCAAACAAAATCAGTCGTTCGTTTATCAAATAGAATCCTCAACGAGAATATTATCAGTAAAGTAAACAGAACGAGTAAATATTTACTTTGTCTATTCTTGCAAGATTGCAAACAAATCGTGTAGGTGATATAGACTGTGTTCATTTAATCGATCAGTGAAAATGTAGAAATGCTTGCAGTACATCTTACTATTAGTAAGTTTATTTATTTGTTTAGCTTTTACCATAGTAACCAGCCAGCGTTCCAATGAACCATGCTAAAGGAAACTCACTCATAAGAAAAGTTTTTTGGTCCAGTTCCCACCATTCAGTGTCATTAATATTGTTATCATTATTTTAATGACCATGTAGCTCTGTTCATTATTGATAATTATACTGTCAAAGTTGTCGTTATTTAAGTTATTATTATTGTAATCATTATTGTTCATTACAGTCACTATTGTAGTAGTAGTTATTATTTTTAAGTTTTTTTTGGTTCAATTCCCACCATTCAATATCATTAATATTGTTATCATTATTTTAGTGAACATGTAGCACTGTTCATTATTGATAATTATACTGTCAAAGTTGTCGTTATTTGAGTTATTATTATTATAATCCTTATTGTTCATTACAATCACTATTGTAGTAGTTGTTATTATTTTTAATTGTTGTATACATTTAGTATTATTTATAGCAACATGTTGTTGCAGTGTAGGTAAATTTGAATGATTCATTTTATCCTTCAAAATTTATATTTTTGGAAGGGGGCGCAAGTAGATGCGATATCAAGAAAGTGAAGTATGATAATACTATCATAAATTTTGTAAAGAACTATCAGTTTTCGTTCTATCTTCATTACTTCTTAGCGCATCACAATCTCATCATATCATTAAGAATGATTTTTGCTGTCTTATTTCTTTCGTTTTAATCGTTATCAAATATTTTTCTTATTGTCTTATTTTTCGCAATGATTTTGTGCAGAGGATTTATGTGATTATTGAAATTTTTCTTTGTTATTCCACACTTTCATCCTGCTTACTTATTTTTCAGTGTAGAAATCTGTAATTTCATTTATTGAATAGTTTCAGCATTATACCAGCAGCTTGATTCAGTGAAGAGTTTCTCGAATAAATCTTTTCTAACGATATGATGATCATGTCTTTTGCATTTAGTCTGCTTTGAATATACAACATCTTCTGCAAATACGAAGTGAAAATCTAAAGGAAGTTTCCGTTTACATTAGAATTTCCAATTTGTGCTCCATTTATGAATATTTTCCACAGGTGTTTTGAATCTCGAATTCATGTTTTCTTATCGAATTTATTTTCGATAATCCATCCGTCACTTTGTTAGTTTCTAAGTTGGCGTGTGCTTGCATAAGGAATTGGTAGGTGCTGACTGATATGTTGTCGGAATGAACGATCTTTCTATTGCGATACTAGTAATGAGGCTGATAGACCAATGACGAAATGATGACAATTGAATGGAGATAGCAAGTGTATGATAACTTTGATAATATACGGAGTGGTAATGAAGATCTCAGTAATGATA